GTTTTTTCTTTTTTTTTTGCTTGCGCGAGAATCGTATGATTTTCTTGTTCTCTTTGTTGTTGTTACGCCCCTCTAAATTTGCTGTTGTTGTTTTTGTTGCCATTGCTGCTGCGACGCACAGTGGCAAAAGTTGACCAAATACCGCGCAATAACAAGAATTCGGGAAAACTTAGGTAGAAATCATGGAAGAGATTTCCGTTTTTCTATTTTTTCATCCATAAAATAAATGAATATCAATTGGCTTAAAAGATATCTTTTATTAATAAAAGGGTTAAATGGCGCCACTGTGCGACGCCGGTTCTTTTGGCATGTGTGCCATTAATTTTGTTATGTTTGTTGTTGCTTTCGGCTTAAATGTATTCCTCTCGCTCGCACTCACCAATTCAACGGGGTTCTTGTTCCGCTTTATTCCCGATTTTTTAATGGGTACTCGAAACAGATTGTGGGGTATATTGGGATAAAAAGATATAGGGGTTCAATAAATACCATTGTTATATAGCGGAATCTTCATAATATTGCAAGATATATCTCAGAGATATAGATATCTGTCGAACCGACATAGCCCTAAAGATAAAAAGATATGGGATTTCAAACAATCACATCTAAGCAAAAATATCTCAAAGATGCCAAGATTTTCAGATACAATACATACATGTACATGGGTTTATAATACAATAAAATGTAATTTGTTTGTAGTTATCTTAATGATATCGCCTGATGGTACTGCATACCTAGAGTTCTATAAAAAGATACATATTGAAAGTACCTTCCATAAGAGTTTCTATTCTAAAGATAAATCAATACATATAAATTCTCCATTTCCCGTTTCTTGGCAACCTATAAAACACCTGCAAATTACCGTATCCATTGCAATTTCCGCCGAATCAATGGCAATATGAAAAGTTTATTTTTACAAATGCCACAATGTTTGTTTAAAAAAATAACCATACAAAATGGCCTATGCATGATTAATCATTTTACTTGTTTTGTAAGAGATTGTTTTGATATACTGACTCATAACAAGTTATTTCGCTTCGATAGTACCAATTTGTTGTTTCTGAAAATAAACTAGAATAAATTTACCATGACGCAACCGAAAGTAATGACAAATTAACAATACTTTTGTAGTATAAATCTCGGAACGAAAGTCAAATGGTTTTTATTAGATTGCCGGGTATCTTTACGGTCAGTCTACCAAGTATTTGTCCATTCTTTCTTATTCTTTTACGATTCCCGCTTTTTGTCGTATAAGAAGACTTGGGTTCCTCACTAACCACCCTGAAACCTCCCATATGTATCACCCCACCGACTAACCCGACACCTTATCACTACCTTCCAGTGCAACGTCAGTTGTTTTATTGCTTTTAAAGCGCCCGATAATCAGGAAAACGGTTCTAGTTTCATGCACGTGGGCTAATGGGAGAACTTGCCAGCTGGTAATACATATTTAGATATACCATACTTTTGGCCCACCCCTCCTATAATTCCTATATTTTGGTAGAGCTCGCTATTTGCACTTAGCGCTAATTGCTGCGAGTGGCAATAACACAACAATAAACAAAAGCAAATTCAAGTGTTTCAGCTTGTTTACGGATCAGTGCAGATTAGCCCGGGAAATGGTATAATTGTGGCTAAAATATGCACAGAAAGAAACCTTTTATTGTACAACAAAATGTTCTTGAAAATGTATCTGAACTTATTCTTAATCATATATGATACTCCAAACTATAAATTATACTCACTGTTATTAAAAATAAAACATTTAATTTATGGAGTATAACTATATTAAATTTGAAATAGAATGCCACTTATATAAATAAATCATTTTTGACACCATTTTACATCAATATATATTTAAATGTCATATATACATAAGTATTTTCTTTCACTTATGATCGATTGTTTAGCTGATTCACCGAAATTCCCGTTTATGGCGTGTTTCAAATGAGTTGTGGCCATTGGCCAAGGGATTTGTAGGGATTTTCTAGGTGTATGCTAGGCATGTACTATAAATAAATTCATTTGTAAAATGACTAAAAACCTTAGATTATTCCTAGAATGCATTTGCGGTAGACTAGGTAAGGAACAGTATTTTGTTGGGTAGGGCTTACGTAAAAATAATATTATAAAAATAAAGATTAAACTAGTTATGACTTTTTTTTTAATAAATAACTCTTTGATTTTATATATTACAACAGTGTTCAAATATTATTCCATCAACCTACATATTCTCATGTCTCAACAATCACGCGACGTAAACAAATACTATATAATCAGTACCGATCTCAGTGACGCATCCAAATGGCACTATCGTTGAGTCAAGTTTCAAAGTCTTGAATAAACTATAATTGTTGCAAAACCAACAAACAAAATTGATAACTGCAGTGGGGCGTAAATAAATTGATGTATGTATATATACACATATTGCTAAGTTGAGAGTCTGAGATCAGCTGGGGAAGAGGAAGCAGTGCACTTATTGAGCCATTGACCCACTGAAATATTATGAATAAATATAAAGCTGGCGAAAAGTGGGGTTTATGAGGGGGTATTCCATTGCGTGCACCACACAAAAACACGTTTTCGCTTTCATTTCGCTTCCGACCGAAGTTCAAGGCACTTTAATGACCCTGACATTGTTGATACTTCCCACTTTGTTGGCATGCAGTAACTTTGACCATGTCTCCAGAAACACTTGCGGTCAAGAACATGATTAAAATATTATTGTTAACCTGTTCTTGATCTTATATTATACCAGCAGAAATTTAGTTCAACATAATCAGCACAAAAAAACGATTATGAAAGAATATTTGGTAAACAAAATATAAGCTGGAGCCTAGCTAACTTGAACTTGGCATTGATTCTTATAACGATAATGAGCGTTTGTTATATAAAAGATTTAAAACATTTTTGAACTTCTGTAAAACATAAAAAAGTCATATTACTTTGCTCTTATCTGTATATTTAAATTCATATACACACCGAAATCATCTGAATGAGTTTTTTAAAACTAGAGATTAGTATAGGGATCTTTGGAATGTAAGAATAATAAAAATTCAACTCTAATCTCACAGAATAATGTGATGAAGCGTTAATCGCTAGAGCTGTATTATTTTAATAAACCCCACTCCAGACATTGGGTCTGAATGGTATGGTTCGGACTATTTCCATACCGATTCCTGGAACCGATTTTATCTAGAGGGCCGGATCGAAAGGCAAAGTTCAGGGCGGTACCCGACGGGCCTCCACTTGACTGATAAGCATAGCTTAAATGCTATATACTATACGTCGCTATCAGCGATTAACGCCCGGTTTATTGGCAGTTGGCGAATGTAAACATGGAAACGTTTGGCGACTCATTGATTTGTGGGGTCCATATTTTAATAGGCGACTGCTTGCATGAATTAGTCATGTGATTGGGCTACTATCCGATAAGGGATACGTGATTATCTGACTGTTTTTGTTGGTTCCTCAGATTACACCAGTTTACAAAAAAAAATTAATGAAATACGCCTTTCAGGAAACCTTTGTTTTCCGGTAAGATACATCTCCCTGATTAAGAAAAGGGCACTTAAAATTTTTTCTATGGTACCAATTTTTTTTTAAGTGTAAAAAACGTTTTTCGCACTTTTTTATTTTCTAACTCGAGTTGTGATAAACCGAATTCTGTCATTAAGGACTCATTTTACAGGTAATAGAATGCCCTTTAACTTTCTTATACACATCATTAAGTTCCATTCATTAGTTCAAAAGCTACACTTCGTCAAAGTTGAAAAATTTGGAAAAAAATCAAAAACGCTGGCATAAATGGCTTCTTTAAAAATACACGCGTAAAAACCGAAATTAGTTTTATGTTGTTTTCTTGAAGGCTGAACCATAACGGAGTATATGCGCCATAGATCACGACAATCCGTTGGTAAATCGATTTTTAACAGATTTTTAAACGTATATACCCAAGTTCAGTATTCGGGAGCAGCGGCCGTTAAACGTTATTTTAAATTTTCAGTGTTGGGGAACGTAAGAATTTGGTGCAAGTTGTTATGCATAACGTCAGTTTCCTTGCTAAAAATATATAAAAATGATTTCCTCGTAACTGCAATCGCATACTTTTTAGCTTGCCCAGCGCTAATAGCAAGGAAACTGACGTTATGCATAACAACTTGCACCAAATTCTTACGTTCTCCAACACTGAAAATTTAAAATAACGTTTAACGGCCGCTGCTCCCGAATACTGAACTTGGGTATATACGTTTAAAAATCTGTTAAAAATCGATTTACCAACGGATTGTCGTGATCTATGGCGCATATTCTCCGTTATGGTTCAGCCTTCAAGAAAACAACATAAAACTAATTTCGGTTTTTACGCGTGTATTTTTAAAGAAGCCATTTATGCCAGCGTTTTTGATTTTTTTCCAAATTTTTCAACTTTGACAAAGTGTAGCTTTTGAACTAATGAATGGAACTTAATGATGTGTATAAGAAAGTTAAAGGGCATTCTATTACCTGTAAAATGAGTCCTTAATGACCGAATTCGGTTTATCACAACTCGAGTTAGAAAATAAAAAAGTGCGAAAAACGTTTTTTACACTTAAAAAAAAATTGGTACCATAGAAAAAATTTTAAGTGCCCTTTTCTTAATCAGGGAGATGTATCTTACCGGAAAACAAAGGTTTCCTGAAAGGCGTATTTCATCAATTTTCTTTTGTAAACTGGTGTTATGATACGATTTTTCGATTAAGTGCTAATGTACCCCCAATTTCAATTTAAAAATGTTTTGTTTATTCATTAGTATTCTTTTTAAGTGCCAATAATCTTAAGTTAGGAATATAGAAATACATGGATTAATATAACTGATAAATCCTTTATTTATATGCCTTTCATGTTAATATCTGTCCGGTAACTAATCTAATCGGAATCAATTTAATCAGCCTCTATAAATTAAAACTAGACTTTTATTACTAAAAGACCAAGAGTTATGGGATGCGAAGGAACCAAACATTTTCCATTAAATACATCGATTTCTTCGGATACAATATATGTATGTTCCTTGTTTCTAATGTCACCAATGGAAAGTCTCTACTATCGATGTTATCGACCGAAAAGCAGCTAAAAATCGATTGCTGGCAACAACGATGCTTTTGCAGCTCTAGCAGATAGTGATTTGTTTTAGACAAGTTCTACTGTACATCATACACATTTGGCTCTGCGTCAAAATTATTTTGTGGCAGGAGCCGGCAAATTTTGGAGCAAACAGGTTAAACACAACAATGTCGATGGCCGAGACCCTGGACTACCTCATAGTGGGCAATCCTGTCAGCCAGTTGATTATCTTGTCTGCAAATGCCTTCCTGCAGAGCATCGGATTGCTGCCGCCGAAATGTCCCATGGAGGACACGCTCCTCGTCTTCCAACCCTCATCGCATTCGTTCGTGCGTTCGCATAGCTCACTGTACTGCCTCGCCGGAAGCCATTATCATTTCGTGAGGCTGGCCGGCATTGGCGGAGCATCGGCCATCTTTATGGGGGCCTACTGCAAGTATGTCCTGCGGGATCTGGATAGTGTCCGGGAGCAACTGGACTCGCAGGCCTTCGCCGATGTGGCCAATCGCATCCACTTCCTGCACTCCTTCGCCTTGATGGCCATGCCCCTGGCCCACTATCCCTTCCTCACCGGAGCGCTGATGATCACCGGCACCCTGTTCTTCAGCGGTTCCATGTACTATCGCGCCCTCACGGGCGAGAAATGGATGCAGCCATATGCCACCGTCGGAGGATTCTGCCTCATGGGCGCCTGGCTGTCGTTGGTCCTCTAGAATTCGCTGCAATACGAATACGAATACGAATACGAAATACTTGTGTATAGCTTGTCCGGAATTAGAATGCCAGAATGCCACGATGAATCTCGTATCTCTAACTATGCTGGCAGTAGTGTATAGTAAATATATAGTGCGTCTTAAAAGTGAACTCTGGAAGGCTTTAGCAGCCCATGGAAGACACTTTTAAGATATATATTTCTATGAGCTGTTGGCCAAATGTACATACATAAATTCCTAAAATCAAATAAATACAATATAGGTCTTTCATATAAGAAATAATATTATATGAACGAAGTACAACAGGAATTATGGAGCTTTTTGGGGATGGGGTTCCAAATTAGTATTTTTTAAAGATCTTCCTTTTATTTGGTAGTTAATATTTATATTTCTACGCTTAAAATGGTCGATAACGGTTACAATAGGTATATGTTTTTATTCCGCAAGTGATAGGTATAAAAATATAACTAAGCTATACAATAGTTTTGTAAGGTATACCCAATAACCCCAATACTTAATTTGTCAAATCCCTATTTAAATCTTTACAGGTCTATGTGCTGACAGTGTTGCTGCTGCCCATCCGCGTGGTGGGCTGCGTCCTTTCCCTGATCTCCGCCTGGATGTTTGCCTGCATTGGACTCTATGGGATGACGCTGGATGATCTCAAGGCGAAACCCCTAACCGGCTGGCGCAAGTGAGTAAATATCACACCATTTCGCGAATCTCTGGCTAATTATCATACCTTTCAGACAAATGCAATGCATGACGGCCTGCGGCATGCGCATGGTGTACACCTTCGGATCGTTCCACTATGTGACCATGAAGGGTCGAGCGGCGACGCCGAAGGAGGCACCCATTCTGGTGGTGGCACCGCACTCCTCCTACGTGGACTCCATCCTGGTCGTGGCCAGTGGCCCGCCCTCGATAGTGGCCAAGCGGGAGACGGCGGACATTCCACTGCTGGGGCGGATCATCAACTATGCCCAGCCCATCTATGTGCAGCGCGAGGATCCCAATTCGCGCCAGAACACCATCCGGGACATTGTGAACCGAGCGCGCTCCACGGAGGACTGGCCGCAGGTGGTCATCTTCGCCGAGGGCACCTGCACCAATCGCACCGCCCTGATCAAATTCAAGCCGGGTGCATTCTATCCGGGCGTGCCCGTCCAGCCGGTGCTCCTCAAGTATCCGAATAAGTACGACACCTTCACATGGACCTGGGACGGACCTGGAGTGTGAGTATCTAGGGGTTTTGGAAAAAATTATGAATAGGAATCAGTAAGACTGGACTGGAAAAGGGATTAAACAGCATTCTTTTAGGTAAAATAGTAATTATTATTAACAAATCATTTGTTATAATACTATAGGTTTTTATTCCATTTTAGATATATAGATATTTGACTAGTCTAATTTAAGAAGATTATGATATGTGTTGATTCTTAGTTTCGAATGGTTAGCTTTATATATATAGATTAGGAAGAGACAGACAGCTTACTTGTGAAACTTTCAATATTGTAAGATACCTTTAAAGGAGGAAAATCTTATATTTGAATATGGTTCTTTGGTAAATATTATTGTAATTATAACATCTTGTTTAATTTAGGTTGCGTCTTCTTTGGCTGACGATGACGCAGTTTTATAACCGGTGCGAGATCGAGTATCTGCCCGTATACACCCCATCGGCGGACGAGGTGGCCGATGCCAATCTGTATGCCAACAATGTGCGCGAGGTGATGGCCAAGTAAGTTGGATTCCCGATTCTCTGAAATGGAAATTTTGGAAAATATATAATTTTTAGAAATTAAATAGGTCATTTCCTTTACCGTTCCTGTTTATAGCTGCAATTTTGTATTTTATAGTCAACATTATAGCGTTTATTTATGATAAACAGAAGATATTTTTTGTTTCTAGTTGTAAATTAATAATGTATGTATATAAGTCCAAATTATTTGTGGATTTTTTGAAATATTTTATATCCACATGCGGTTTTTATAAGTGTTTTTGTTTTTCCTTTCGATGGTGGGAAGAAATAATTGTTTTAATTTACGATTTTTATTCAGAAATACAAATATTATTTAGTTATTTATTTAGTAACAATTTTCTAACGCTTCAAAATTGCCTTTATTGTAAGTTAATAAAATTTTAAGATCACAAGATTATTGGAATGCCTACTAATACGCATTTTTCTAGGGCTCTGGGAGTACCCACCTCGGACTATTCCTTCGAGGACGTCATCGTGATGAGCCGGGCCCGCGACATGAAGATCCCCTTTCCCGGCGACATTGTGGAGATCGAGCGGACGATCGAGAAGCTGGGCCTGGTCGAGAGCCAGCGGGATGCGGAGCTGTGCAAGGGCTTTCTCCGGCTGCCCAACACGGACGCGCTGGACATCATCACGTTTGGCGAGCTGCTCCAGTTGGATCTCAAGGATGCCAATCTGCACAAGCTGTTTTCGCTGCTCGATCACGTGGGTTTCTCGATCGGGAATCGCGAGCTCTGTCCTTTTCTAATCGGTATTCATTATCTCTTTTCTTTTAGCGCCGCACGGGCACAGTGAGTTTGAAAAGTTTCCTGCTCTGCTCCCTCTTCTGCAAACTGAAGAACTCCGATCTTTTGACCTTCCTGCGGGCCCTGATCTATGTAATATAAAATAAGAAAGTAAATGTGAACTTATTTATACATTTTTATATCCAATAGCTGTATAGCGAATCTAGTCAGCAAATCGACAGGGAAAGCTTTGTGCGATTAATGAGACATGCTGGCGGCAAGCTGAATGAACAAAAGGCCCAGGCGCTCTTCTATGCGCTGGATACCCAGAACCTGGGCTATGTCTCCTTTGGTGGGTACTATATTAAATAAATTCCATTCCTTAAATATAAAATAAATATTTCAGATTCCTTTGTTGAGCATACGGAAAAGCAGAAATCGAGCTATAAATTCCTCTACCACAAATCGGAGCACATAAGGCGACCGAAGGCAGTCACCACGCCTGCCAACTGAATATGTGAAGCACACTTTTGTGTTTATTTCACTGGAAATGAAGAAAGTATCTGGAAGACGAGGAGTTGCAACCAAGAGAAAAACAAATACCCAACCTAAGCAGAAAGTTCAACTGTCGAGTGTATATTTTTAATATTTATTTATCGTGTAGCGCGTGTCCTGGCACCCCCATACATATATTGTAATTAATATTATTTCTATTATTATTACCATAGTTTCTTGAGAACACTGCTCACAGCACAGAGATCCGGATCTTATTGCGCCCCAGCTTTGTTATTATTTATACTCGGACTCTAAACGCAAGTCATTTCATCTTTGTGATTCTTATTATACACACTTACGTTATATGTACACTTAAATATTAAAGCATATATAAACAAGTATGTATCTTATGTAGAGGCAGGCAAAGCAACCTTGAATATTTCCTAATTTCCCTGGCCAAAAAATGAAAAGAAACCACAAAGAATTGTATGGCAAGCCATAGGTATAAGATATAACAGCAGACCCAGCCAATGAAGCTCTCCATCGATCCCACTCACTCACTAATAACCACCAAGACCACACAGAACAATGGAACTGCGATCGAAACCGATCATAACCACCACTACTAACCAACCAAAACTGAACAACCACCAAGCACACTACATGAAAACCTTTTGTAATCGATTATTATCGATCAGGGAAGATTTCTTTTTCACCTTAAAAGTATAGAGAACCATGTCACACAACAACCCATAGGAATGCTTTCTAAAATTACCCAATCTCAACTAAATTTGTATGAAATTATCGATTATGATCTATTATTTTAGACTTGCTAACCAACCACTTTAAAAACTGATTGTACATAATGTCTTCAAGAGAGACAAGAGATTGTAAAACTTACGATTTCTTCTTGATCATTCTTGTAACTGTTTGCCTAATTTAATTTTGCTGAATTTTAATTTAAGGATCTCTGATCTGTAGAATGTTACCTTCAGATCTATAGTTCCTCAGAGTTATCGAACATTTCTTGTGCATTTGTACCCACACGGCCAACTTCTCTAGACTTTACACAAAAGCACTTGGCACGGAGAGATCTATGTAGAGCACAGCCTGTACTTAAGTCAAACACCTTGGGCACACCCCCACTTCACACAGAGTCTGTTTTATCTATATAAATTATTGATTATTGGAAACACACCAAGAAACACCAGGTATTGTGTAATTGTAAAGAATATCTGCTATCTGCAATAGAAAATCTGCTCTTTCGAAATGATAATTATGCTTTCGAGAGGGCAAACAGGCGAGCTCCTCCGTAGTTTTTACATTTTGAGAAGATCTAACCCTAAGCTAAACGATCTAATTTATGTGCTATTGTAATAGATATTATTAGCGCCCTAAGCCTGCACCGAGAGCAAACCCAATTCGGCTGAGAAATCTGCTCAAAAAATATATATGTGTGTACGATTTTAAACCCAGCCTGCTTATCTATTTCGATGGGAATGGGTTTAATGGGCGTTTTCTAAAAAAAAACGCCCTCCGCTCATGAGTTGATCTAAAATGCAAAGATCTCTGGAAGCAGCACAGTCGGACATTGATACTCCAGCAGATCGGATCTAATTTGTTTAGTGATTCTAATGTTTTAATTATTTTTTGGTGATCTTACGTGATTCTGTTAAGTGACAAAATGAATGGATCTGCCAGGAGCAGACTCCTGTTGTGTTTGGCAATCTTTATTTTTACGGATATTTGGCCTTTTGCGGAGGGTTTTGTCAACTCGTAAGAATTTAGAAAAAAGTTTTTAGTGTAGATGTTAATACCGCTAATTTTTAGGCCGAAAATTATAAGCAAAGATGGCAATTTGATATTTGAGTCTGGAGCCAATCGAAATATCAGCTTTCGATTAATGGGAAGTTCGCGGCTAACGATCAACGAGGAGTACGATGTGATGGAGCTATTGATGGCCACCGGTGGTCCCAAAAAGCGGCCCAACGGTCCCAAGGATGAATGGAACACCGCCGAGGATTTCGTGGATGTGCGGGAGCTGGCGGATCAGCTGGCTGATTTTAAGAGACGAGCCTTTGGGGTCAACGGTTTGGATGAAAGGCTGCGAACGCAGTTAAACAGGTGAGAGCATAAACAGTGTTACAAACCTATTTATAACTCTAAGAATACAGGAGCTCGACTCGGGAATTTTGGGATGCAAGTTCGTTGTCATATCCTTATGTGAAAAGAATAAAGAGATAGGTTTTATATTAATAGTTTAAGATACGAAAGTTCCGATTACATATTAAGACTAACTAACTAACTGAAATTGAATTTTATAACATTTATAGCATTAAACATGCAATTGAATTTTCATTATTTTGAAATATGACTTCATAATTCCGTTTCTATTGGGGACAGGACTCGCGGATCGATGGCTCTGCTGCGGCGTTTCCAGACACGACTTAGGGCGGTGGAGAACCGGGTGGATCGTATCAAGACGCAGTTGGAGACGAACAGCTGCGCAAGTGGACCCTGCGAGAACGGAGGAACCTGCTACAACACCTTCAACGGCTTTCGCTGCCAATGCCGGCCGGCCTTCGAGGTAGGTCGTTAAATCCCCCTGAGAACCCAGAAAAAAAAGGGGAGTATTGGGGGGCGTCTGAAGTGGTACCAAAAACATATTCTACAGCAACAGTGATCACTAGAGACCTCCACGTACAAGTATATAACGTATAAGTAGATAACTGAGTACTCTGTTTCATTGGTTTTATGATTCTTATTCATATTCAACATAAATATTCTTTAGCACACTTTAATACGCCGCGAATTCTTTAGTGCACTTTAATGTACCGCGAATACTTTAGAGAGGGAAATCACTAAAGGAAATGCAAAGCTGTGTTTTTTAGATCTCGGTACTAATATTCAATTAGTTAGTATTGTAACTAATTACTTTGTTTCTTTACTACGTAGGGCACCAAGTGCGAGTTGGACGTCAACGAGTGCGCCCTGTACGAGGGCACCGACCTGGGCTGCCAGAATGGAGGACAGTGCCAGAATCAGTTTGGCTCCTACAGTTGCCTGTGCCAGCCGGGTTGGCATGGGATGCACTGCACCCAGCGCAAGGCCGACTGTTCGCAGTCGAGTGCCTGGGAGCTGTGTGGCCACGGATCCTGCGTTCCCAGCTTCGACGATGCCGGCTATCGTTGCCTCTGTGAGCCGGGTTGGAAGACCAACGGACTGACCCCCGTTTGTGGCGAGGATGTGGACGAGTGCAGCGATTCGGCGGCCCACAAGCCCTGTTCCACCAGCTGCATCAATCTGCCGGGTAGCTTCACCTGTGCTCCCTGTGCCGCCGGCCTGACCGGAAATGGAATCAGCTGCCGGGACTTGGACGAATGTCAGACGAACAACGGCGGCTGCAGCCTGAATCCCAAGGTGGATTGCATAAACACCTACGGATCGTATCACTGCGGCGAGTGCCCCATCGGTTGGACGGGCGATGGACGGAACTGTGAGAGAAGCGCGGAGGAGTTCGACATCCAGACCGGCCAGCGCCCGAGGAGTTGTCCGGCGAGCAACAATCCCTGCTACCCGACAGCCAGCTGCTTCCTGATCTCCGGCACCGCATCCTGCAGGTGTCCGGCGGGCATGGTCGGATCGGGATACGGTCCGAATGGCTGCGTCAATGGAACGACCACGAACTGCTTCGGAAATCCCTGCCTGGTGAGTCGCATTTTGGTCAAACATATAAAGAGTATATGGGAATACCTGTAAAATCTTAAGAGTTTTTTAATAACCTTAAATAAGTTATTAAGGTATCTGAACAATAAGACCTTATTTTTTACTGCCCATAGGTATATGACTTTTTAAACAATTTCAAATCATTACAAATATTTAAAACTTCTAATAACTTTTAGCTTGACATGAGGATGAGAAAATATGGTCAAAGGATAAAATAATATGTAAAACCTTAAAGACAGATCACAAAGTTTTTTATATTCATAAATCAATGCATGGAAAGATATCCATATTATATTCCATTTTCTTATAACCTATCATGATGATTTCTAACCCTCCCTTCGTTTGATCCCACAGAACGACGGCATTTGCCTGGACGCCGGACCCTCGAACTTCACCTGCATGTGCCAGAGTGGGTTCCGTCCGCCGATCTGTGAGCCGGTGCCGAGTCAGTGCGACCGGAAGCCGTGCCAGAACGGAGGACGCTGTCGTCCCACCACGTCCAGCTCCGATGGCTTCGTCTGCCAGTGCCTGCCGGGCTACCGGGGTCGCCGGTGCGAGACGCGCTTCAGCAGCTGCAACGGAATGCTGAGTGCTCCGAGTGGCCGGCTTAGGTATCCGCCGGAGGGCACTGGCTATGAGCACAATGCCCAGTGCGCCTGGGTGATCCGCACCAACGAGTCGCTGGTGGTGAACGTAACCTTCAACAGCTTCGATCTGGAGGACTCCACGGAGTGCCGCTTCGACTGGCTGCAGATCAACGATGGCCGATCGGCGGCTGCCCAGATAATTGGACGCTATTGCGGCAACCATCTGCCCCACGGCGGGAGCATCATCTCCTCCGGCAATCAACTGTACCTGTGGTTCCGGTCCGACAACTCGACGGCCAAGGAGGGCTTCGATCTCACCTGGAGCTCGATGCAGCCGCAGTGCGGCGGTCGGTTGGAGTTCGAGACCCACGGCACCCTCGCCTCGCCAGGATCGCCGGGAAATTATCCCAAGAACCGCGACTGCCGGTGGCAACTGGTGGCGCCCACCAATAAGCGCATCAAGCTGACCTTCTTCAGTCTGCAGCTGGAGCAGCACATCAATTGCAATTTTGATTTTGTGGAGGTGCGATTTCATAATAGATCACTAAATAATCTCTAGTTTTTTTAACCTCCAATCACTTACATCGGCTTTCTTTATTTCAGATTAAGGACACCATTTCCGGACGCCAGCTGGCCAAGTACTGCACCAGCGGAGCGCCGGCGCCGCTGCTTCTGGCCACCCACCTGGCCGAGATCCACTTCCACTCCGATGCGGAGGGCGGCGACACGGGCTTCCAGCTGCATTATTCGGTGGAGGAGAGGGTGCCCGGCTGCGGTGGCGTCTATACCGCCAAGCAGGGCACCATTGCCGAATCCTCCACGGCCAATTCCGAGCCAGGAGGTGTTTCCTGCGAGTACGAAATCCACTTGGCCGTGGGCGAGCAGGTTGCCATTCAGTTTGTGCGTCTAGATCTGGAGCCCCAGGACTGCCTGGAGGTGCTGGACGTCACGGACGAGGGCGGCAGTGTGCTGCAGGAGAAGATTTGCGGATCAGATGCGGCACGTTCGAATCCACCAGCCTTCACATCGCAGTTCAATCGCCTCAAGATCAAGTTCTACGCCCGTGCCGGTGCCTTCGAGCTGAACTACCGCATGGCCTGTGATTTCAAGCTGGACGCTGACCAGGGCACGATCACCTCGCCTGGCTATCCCAACATAACCAAGAGCGATCGGCTGTGCACCTATACGATAAGAACGGCGGCGAACACGGTGATCAGCTTGAAGAGGATCGATTTTCAGCTTAGCGGCGAGGACCATGACGATGAATCTAACTGTCTGACCACCAATTTGAGAGTGAGATATCCACTTCTATATATTCATTTCCACATATCCATATCTAGATATCCATATCCATATCCAGATATCCAGATATCCATGTCAAGATATCCATATTCATAAACGTATTACTTATTCTACCCCATATCCGCAGATAAACGATGGATTAAACCGCCAGATCTTGGGACCCTACTGCGGCAAGAATCAACCGGCGGAGGACTTTGTCAGCCAGACCAACTACCTGCAGTTCCACCTGACCACGGATGCAGAGAGCTCGGGACGTGGCTTCAAGTTTGACTACCGATCTCTGGCCGGCGGAGACGACAAGTGTGGCGGAGTGCACACCCGTTCCGGCGAGCACATCCGACTGCCGACCACGGAGGGCCGTTATGCCAATGATGCGACCTGCTACTGGGTGATTATGGCTCCGGCCAACAAGGCCATTCGCCTGCACTGGATCAGCTTCGAAATGGAAGAAACACAGGACTGCAGCTTCGACTATGTGGAGATCTACGACAGCCTGTCCGCCCAGTTGGGCGATGACAAGGCCAAGCCGATGGCCAAGTACTGTGGCACCCGTCTGCCGGAGGATCTGGTCAGCCACTCGCGCCAGCTTGTCATTAAGTTCGCTTCGGACTACAGCGAGGCGGATGGCGGCTTGGAATTGACCTATACCTTCGAGGACCGCGACATTTGCGGCGGTCACATCCACGCCTCCAGCGGGGAGTTGACCTCCCCGGACTATCCGGCCAACTATTCGTCTGGCTTGCACTGCGATTGGAAGCTGACCGGAGCTATTGGCCATCTGCTGGAGATTCAGGTGGAGAACTTTGAGCTGGAACCGTCGCCCAATTGCACGGCGGACTATCTGGAGATCAGGAATGGGGGCGATGCCGTTTCCCCGCTGATAGGACGCTTCTGCGGCCAGAGCATACCCACGCGGATACCCAGCTTTAGCCACGAGATGAGGCTGATCCTCCACACGGACGCGGCGATCAATGGTCGTGGGTTCCGGCTGCGCTGGCGAGTCTTCGCCCTCGGCTGCGGTGGTCAACTGCGCTCCAACATGGGGCTCATCTCCACGCCCAGATACCCTAATAGCTATCCCCACTACTCACACTGCGAGTGGCGAATTATTCTGCATCCCGGATCGGCCATCTCACTGCTCATCGAAGATATGGACGTGGAATCTTTGAGCAGCTGCTACTACGACAGCGTGAAGATCTACTCGGGAATAAAGATGCCCAACCAGAGTCCCGAAAAGGTGCTCTGCGGCGAACAGAAGAACGAACTGATCCAGCTAGAGATGAGTGAGGCCACTATCGCTTTCGATTCCGATTCGTCTAATTCCGGCCGAGGATTCCGGATTTCCTTCAAGGCGAATTGCGTGAGGAACCTGACGGCCACCACCGGAACCATAGAGAGTCTCAACTATATGGAACCCTTCATGGAGACCATACCCATCAATTGCAGCTGGACGATCAGGGCGCCCAGGGGCAATCATATTCGCATCGAAGTCTCCCATTTGGAGCGGCACGAGGAGCATATGCCGAGTACCCAGATGCCCGGGGGATTGTACATCATGGATGGCGGACATGTCCAGAAAATAAGCACCCCGATGGCGGTGAATGTCAGTGGCGAGGTGCTGACCGTTGTCCACAATGCCAGCTATGTGAACTTCCAACTGGACTACCGCATCGATGGCTGCCTGGAGGAGCTGCGCGGCGAGAGCGGATCGTTCCAGTCGCCCAACCACCCCAATATGTATCCCAACGACCTGGAGTGCTACTGGCTGATCACCGTCCAGCGTGATAGCGTCGTTGAGCTCACGATCTTCGACATTGATCTTGAGGAGAGCGTCAATTGCACCAAGGATGCGCTGTCGGTGAGTTTGGGTATTTGGGGATTGGGTATTGGGGACTGTGTACTAATCCAATGATTTCAGGTGTCCAACCATCAAAACACTGTGGAGACACACGAACGCCATTGTGGATCCACGGACAAGTTGGTTCTGACCAGTTCCGGACATCGGTTGCACGTGCGTTTCAAGTCCGACGGTTCGCACAATGGACGAGGCTTTCAGGCCACCTATCGCACTGTGAAAGCAAGTGAGTAAAACATTTGTGAACCCAGGAAATCTAGAAAATCTAGCTATAAATTTGGATTTATACTTTTATTTTTAGTGCATATTTTTCATAGCATACTTTTGGCATACTTTGTGGCAACACAATTTTAACCCAATTGGAAAAATACTCTCTAATATATATGTGATCACCCAAATCCCTGGATTTTAAAAAACACCCAAAAATGTTGTTACAATTAATATAGCAGACTTTTGTTGCATACTTTTAGACACCTTTTTAAGTTATTTCTGCAGCCGTATTTACTGGTTCCCATCTTTCATTCCCGCAGCTTGTGGTGGCAAAATTTCGGCCCGAAACGGAGTGATCGAATCGCCCAATTATCCGGCGAAGTATCCGCTCCACAGTCATTGCGAGTGGCAGATCGAGGTATCCGTGCACCACCAGATCGTTTTTGATATGAGTGATATTGAACTCGAGGCGGGCTACAATTGCAACTGGGATTATGTGGAGGCCTTTGACCTGGCCGAGGACGACACCGACGGTCAGAGGTTGTTCAAGCTCTGCGGCGATAGTGAGGAAGATACATCCCTGCAAATGTCTGCCACCCACATGGCAGTGGTGCGCTTCGTCAGCGATGACTCCATCTCCAGGAAGGGCTTCCGGATGCACTTCCACGAGTCATGTGGCCAAACGGTGGGGTTTCAGATAAAATATAGTTATATAAACATATACTATGTAGCACAAAATGTATAAAGGATTATCTAGTTAAATATCCTAAGTATTGTGTGATACCTATGTAGCACAAAATGTATTAAGGATAGCCCAATGAATCCCTAAAAATCAAACATTTCCTCGAAAAATAAGGGAGGCTTATAGTAATTTTTATGATCAACTGATGTTATTATTTTTCATTGGAAATTTAAAGTATAGGATTAGGTGTCTGCATAGTCTTCAGGATCATTCAATTTGTTATAGTTTTTTTTTAATTCAAGCTGTATATATTTTTATGACCGTAAACCACATTGCAGATGTCCATCGACGACACGGACTTCGAGTATATCCAGATGTCCCGCCAGGCGCCGCGGAACGAGAGCTGCCTGTGGGTCATCCAGTCGCACGAGCCCAACAAGCGCGTCATCTTCACGCCCACCCATATCAAGCTGCGTGATGGGGCCAACCTGCAGTATCCCACGGAGGGCGACTGCCTCCAGGTGGGCGTGAAGATATACGAGGGTACGGAGGCCAAGGGAACACCGCGTCTCCAGTACTGCCGCTCGCATCCGCCGGCCCTGATCTCCAACGGCCAGGCGCTGACCATCAGTGTGCCCCTTCAGCTGGTCGAGGAGTTCGATGGGCACTACATGACCATGACGACGGCCTGCGGCAGCTTGTATAACGCCCTGGCCGGCAAGTTCACCTCTCCGTATTACCCCGCCTCGTATCCGCCGAACATCGAGTGCCTGTGGGTGCTGGAAGCCACCGCGGGCAATTCCCTCAGTCTCACGCTCGAGTCGATGGACCTGGAGAAGTCGGACGGCTGCAATCGCGATTATCTGGAGGTGCGCGAGGAGTCGGACAGGGGCGAACTCATCGGTGTATATTGCGGCAGTGAGGTGCCCGGGGTGATTCACTCGCGCGGCACCATCTGGATGAAGTTCAAGAGCGACGACGACAACGTGGGCGAGGGATTCATGGCGTCCTACAACTACGGTGAGTTCATTTCCCCATTATAACCCCTAATCCTGAAGAATTCGCGGTGTGTTATTTTTAGAATGGTTGATCGAAAACTTTTGGTGTCATCCTGAAGAATTCGCGAATGAATTCGTTCAAACATTAACTACATTTTCTTTTCCTATATAGAGCACCACAACGAGCTGAACGGCACCGATGGCATCATTGAGTCGCCGCACTATCCCAGCAAGTTCCAGGATCCGGAACCGTACAGCTGGCGCATCACCGTGGACAAGGAGTACGTGGTGGTGATATCGGTGTTCCACTTGAGGGATATCGACCAGCCGCATTTGCGCTTCTACGATGGCTATTCGGATATTGGAGCTCGCATCGAGTTGACCAATACGGACGAGCCGATCATATCCAGCACCAATGTGGTCTACTTCACGGCCAACCGGGGTCCCTTCCGGCTCAGCTGGGAGCGGTTGTCCAAGGAGGAGCTGCGCTCGAATCGCACCGCGGAGGAGCAGACGCGCCTGTGTGGCCGACAGTTGGTCACCATCGGTCGCTCGGTCATCGGGTTCCACTCGCCGGGCTATCCGCATGGCTACGAGAACGGTCTAAAGTGTGCCTGGAGCCTGGTGCCCGCGAATCCGGCAGTGCATGCCGTGCTCACGCTGAGCCAAATCGATCTGGAGCTGTTTGGCGGGGAGAACGAGTGCGTGGCGGATTACGTGCGGGTCTCGAGCAGTAGCGATCTCCAGAACTGGTCGGAGCTGAGCAAACTGTGCACCCTGCCCACGGAACCGAGTGCGAGGATCTTCCACGGCCGACCCTATCTCCGGGTGGAGTTCGCCACGGACAGCAGCGTGAACAAGACGGGATTCAATGGCATTGTGCGAACGGTCTGTGGCTCGGAGATCACGGCCAGCCGGGGTCAGGTTAACGTCACCGAGGTCCTGCGGCTCAATTCGCGACCGAACCAGGATTGTGTGTGGACGATAAAGGTGCGCCAGGGCCGGCGCATCAGGATCGATTTCCCCGACTTCCAGTTGCAGAACAATGCGATGGCCGGATCGAATGACTGCCGCAACTTCCTGGTGCTGCGCAATGGCCACGATGAGGATTCACCCTTTATGGGCCGGGGCAAGTACTGTGAGGATGTCATCAACGAAGTCCTGAACACCACCTCGAACACGGCCTATGTGAAGTTCCACTACATGAGTCCACCGCGCTTCCTGCTTACCTTCCGCTTCGAGGAAGTGGGTCACGCCTGCTCCGGCCGCATTCGGTTGACCAGCAGTGCGGATGAGCAGGTCATCAGTTCGCCCTACTACCCGCACCTGCCACATCCCCACTCCGAATGCATTTGGGTCGTCCAGGCGCCGCCAGACCACCGCATCATGCTGCACTTCCAGGGTGCCTTCGATCTGGTCGAGGCCGATGGCGAGACCAAGGAGTGCCAACGGGAGTTCGTCCTGGTCAATGATGGCAGCACGGAGTTGAAGCCGGAGATCGGTCGCTATTGCGGCGCCCGCAAGCCGGACACCATTTACTCCAGCGGCAATCAGCTGAGGATCCGCTACTTCACGGATGTCTCGGAGCCACATATGGGCTTCAATGCCAGCCTGCGACTGGCCCGATGCGGTGGCTCGTTCCACAGTCCCGAGGGCATTCTGGCCTCACCCGCGCGTGATCTTCTCCAGATCCATGAGGCGGGCAAGCAACTGGAGGAGTGTGTGTACACCATCGAACTTGAGACGGGCAGCTCCATCGATCTGCAGACGGAGTTTTTGGAGATACCCCGGCTGGCGAATGGCAGCTGCTCCCAGCGGAATCATCTGCGGCTGGAGGAGATGGACGCCTTTGGGGCGAATGGCGAAGAGAAGATCGCGGACACGCTGACGGTGTGCGGCGATGAGCGACACCATCTGTTGAGCGAGACCAACAAGATCGTCTTCCGGTACCGCTTCCTGGACGGCATTCCGGCGGAAAACGAGGGCTTCCGCATTAGATACAAATCCCTGGGCTCCCGCTGCGGCGAGACCATCCGCGCCAATGTCGGCATCCTGCAGACGCCTGGCTATCCGGTGGGGATTCGCCAGCCCCTGCACTGCGTTTGGCACATCGAGGTGCCCAAGGGCTCGCGGGTGCGTCTGGAGATCCTGGACTTCAACACGGGCGTCCGGAATGTGACCACTGGCTGGGGCTTTGACTATGGCGGCGGCCACTTTCGGGGTCGCCTCACCGTGGCCAACGACTTCAAGATGCAGTCCATCCTTGGGCGCTACAACAGCGATCCGCCCGCAGTGGTGGTGTCCTCGGACAACACCATGGGCATCGATGTCTTCCTTCTGCCCGTTACGCAGAGCCACGGGATCAAGCTGCGGTTCAGTGCCTACGGCTTCAGCACCTGCCAGCGGCTTGCCATCGAGCGGGATGTGGCCGAGGAGATGCACTTCCAGCGCCTCAATGCCAGCGATCCGGTCCACTGCAGCTACACAATCGAGCCGGCGGCCAATAGTACCATCCTCATTCAGGTGAGTGTGTGATCGTAAGGGGTTAATTTACACTTTGAGCAACTATACCTTATAACCCATGGGAAGGATCGAAAAAACAATGGGAAAAAAGTATCGCTTTCTTGTTTGACATCATATTCTCTACCCCAGTACCTTTTCAAAAAAAACAATTAAAAAATTAATAAAACAAAAATGAGAAATGTATTATTTGTGGCTTAAAAATCATGATTTCATTTTTTGTATATACAAATTAAACAAAATTTAAGAAAAAAGACTGCAAAATTAAAAATGTTAAATTAATTTTCGGAAAATACATATTTTGTATGTAACCCCTTAATAAATGAACACGTGAGCACATGCACTCACTTCCCAACCTTCCTTTCAGGTGAAGGAGTACAACACCACCTCCCCGATGATGCGGAACTCGCATCTCTGCGCCCTGCTCTCGCCGCTCAAGCTGAACCGAGTGGACCAGGAGGACCAGCTGGCGCAGCGCATCCTCTGCGACTACCAGGCACCCACCCCGGGCAAGCCCCTGCCCTCCGTTCGAGTGCCCTTCCCCATCCAACTGGTGGTCTCGGCCTCCGCCCGCAACTCGTTGGCCAATCTCGTGCTGGGCTACAGCATGCAGGCCTGTGGCGGAGTCTTCATCCTGGAGCCGGGCGACAATATGACGCTGCGACAGCCATCCGGAATGGAAGCGATCCAGGGGGCCATCGACTGTGCCTGGGCCATTGGACCCTATGTGGATGCCAGTGGCGACGACGAGGTGGAGCCCCAGGACATCCAGCTGGAGGTGACGCTGCACGATGTCAACCTGCCCACTCCGTCTCCGGCGGCGGGATCAACGGAACTCCCCTGCCTGCATCACTATCTAAAGGTACGTATGCATGAAAACTCCTTTAAATGTCATTCCTAGGTGTCTAAAAGTATCCAACAATATATTTTATACCCAGGAGTGCACACTTCATTCGCTGCACACTCTTAGACACCAAAAGTGATTTCAGAACCCAAGTGATTGGAAATATTTATATGCCTAATCCCTCTCCCCCTGCCCAGGTGTACAATGGACCCGATCAGAACTCGCCCTCGCTGGGATCCTTCTGCAACCAGGCCACCCCTGTGAACGTGGTGGTGGAGCGGGGCCTCTTCTTCGAGTACCACTCCGACAGCTTCTCCCCCAACGCCACGTTCAATGTGTCCATCAAATACGGATCGGGATGCGGTGGCAAGCTGACGTATCCGTATCGCCACATCGATTTCGGTGAGCAGTACAAGAACAATGTGGAGTGCATCTGGGAGGTTGAGGCGGCGTCGGGCTACCACATCGGTCTCACCTTCCACAGGCGATTCTACATCGAAGACAGCCCCGGCTGCACCAAGGACTATCTGCTCGTCCAGCAGCGCAACGAGTCCGCTGGCAACTGGACCGATCTCTCGAGGATCTGCGGTCGTGTTCCGCCGGTGATGATCAACACCACGTCGCCGTACCTGCGGCTAATCTTCCGCTCCGATGGCGATGTGGTGGCCGATGGCTTCCTGGCCACGTTCGAGAGGAACTGCGGTGGCCTCCTGTACGCCGACGATGAGGAACAGGATTTGACCAGTCCGGGCTTTCCGCAGGCCTACGAGAAGAATCTGCAGTGCAACTGGACCATCGTGCCCAGGGATCCCTCAACGGGCGGCGGTGTCCTGGTCAGCTTTACTCAATTCGACCTGGAACACGCTCCCATATCCGCGTGTCTGTTCGACAATGTCTCGATAACCACCACGGACGAGGACTCCAAGACGGAACGGTCCATTATCTGCGGCGTGAAGCATAACCACGAGTACAGGGCCAAGAAATCCATCAATATAGTGCTCAAAACGGACAGCAGCTACTCCGGGCGCGGATTCTCGTTGCGCTACACCAGCCGCCTTTGCGGTGGAGTTGTCGCCCAAAATTCGGTGGTGCAATCACCCCGGCAGCATACGGATAACAACATGCCACCCGGAAGCGATTGCTATTGGAACCTGACCGCACCCGCTGGCTACAAGTTCACCATTAAATTCGAACTGCTCGACTTCGAGGCCAATGGGAATTGTGCCTACGATGGCGTCGAGGTCTTCTCAGGATCGATTCCGGACGAGCGTCAGAGGCGCGGACGCTTCTGCGGCCGCATGAACGAAGATCTGCCGGTGATCAGCATCCCGCAGGAGCGGGGCATCATACACAGCTTCTCGGATGGGCGAGATCCTTCGAGGGGATTCCGTGCCCTGGTTCGCATGATGCTAAACTGCGACGAGAACATCCCGCTGAACGGATCCTCGCGCTATGTCTTTAGCAAGTTCCACAGGCCTGGGGGCTATGAGGCCAGTCTGGATTGCCATATCGTTTTCCGGGTGAACCCGGATCAGCAGATCAGCCTGCAGTTCAGCAACTTCCATGTGGAACAGTCGGATGGCTGCGTCAACGATTACGTGGAGTTGCGCGACGGCGCCGGACCCTTTGCCGATCTCATCGGACGTTTCTGCGGCCAGGATCAGCCGCCCAGCCTGGGCACCTCCAGGCACACGCTCTTCCTGCGCTTCGTCACTAATGAGATGGTGGCTGATACCGGCTTCGAGGTGACCATCAATGCGGTTCCCCGACTGTGCGGCAGTTCGGTGATCACCTTGGGCTCGGACGGACGCAAGGAGGTCAACATTGGCTCGCCGCCAAGGACGCCGGGAGGAAACTACGCCAATGGAGTGGCCTGCTTTTGGAAAATTGTGGGCGATCAGCCACTTAGGATCAACTTCGTCAACTTTGATCTACACGGACCCGATGCCAACGGAAGCTGTGTAGACGACTACCTGAAGATCTACAATAGTGAGGTGATTAAAGTTCAAGCCTAAACAAAAACATATATTGGTGATAACATACTACTTCTGTGTGTAGAATCTCAATTATCAGCAAAAAGTAATGAGTGGTGACCCAAATTTTTTATTTTTTTTTTAAATATTTGTAAAGGAAAAGCGCCTAAAACCCAAATTGTTATCAATTGGTACGAGATTTTACAAGTTTCTCGTTTAATTCTCTAAAAATCTGCATTAGAAATGTTCTAAGTTAGCGAAGGTGGCCCAAACATAACTTACGCATCATCCATCAGCGATAAGAAATGATTGGTTACCCAAAATTTTGGATTTTTTAATATTTGTAATTAAAAAGCGCTTAGATCAGACAAATTTATCAATCAAAAGATTCTACAAGTTTCCGGTGTAATTCTATGTTAGCAAAGGTGACCCAAAACATAACTTACAGGTCCCTTAACTTGTCCCACAATTTGATCACTGTTGTGATCTACTTTCCCATTTCTTTTTAAATATTTGTTAAGGAAATGTGACCCAAAATGTAACTTATAGATCTAGAACTTACCCTTAACATGATTCCGATTTAAAAATACTGTTTTCTTTCCTGCAATATCCATTTGTCTAACTGCTTATCCTCATTGCTATCATTTATCCAGGACGCCGAACAGGTGGAGCTGGGCTATGGCAGCGAGTTGGTCTTCAATGGACAGACGTCTGGACAGGATCACTTCGACTACGCCACCGAACACGTGTACTGTGGCAACGTAAAGCCAGACACCTATCACTCCAAGGCCAACGAGGTGTACCTGAAGTTCCGGTCGAAGGGTTTGGAGCAGCGTGCCGGATTCCAGCTGCGGGTCATCCTGAACTCTAACGCCGACCGCCACTACGATGGGCTGCAGGGACGGATACATCTGTCGCAGACGATCGATAGCGATATCACCATCCGGGCACCCGCCAATCACACTTTGAGTTTGTACTACACCGAAGTGATCTTCGGCTCCTACGACTGCCAAACTGAGAATTTGGAGGTTTACGACAGGACAAACAGATCGTTGCAGCGCATCTGCTCCTTTGTGGATGCGGGCAAGAGTCTGTTCAGCAATTCCGATGAGCTGCGGCTGCACATGAAGACCGGTTCGTTTTTGACCTCGCTGGATCTCACCTATCTGGCCAGTCCGGCAGAGAAGGGACCCGGATGCGGGGGGCAGTTCTACAACATCGAAGGAATCTTCGCCAACCCATTCTATCCGGCCAATGTGCGGAATAACTCCGAGTGCCAGTGGATCGTTCGGGTGCCCAGCAACAATAAAGTGTTTCTCACTTTTGAAGGTGAGTTTGAAACCCGTATATTATATTATACTTAATTTCAACATTTACATTTCTCGATTTTTTTCCAGTTTTTAATCTGGGCTCCAAGACCACCTGCCACACCGACTACCTCCAGATCCTGGAAAAGGACGAGGCTGGGGAGGAACTCGAAGTAAGGCGCTTCTGTGGCGAGGACACCCCGAAGTACTACAAGAGCCAGCGCAGCCAAGTGGTGGTCCGCTTCCACAAGACGGTCAACTACGATGGCATCGGCTGGGTGATACGCTTCGCCGGGGTCTACTCCAACTACCAGATACCCCGATACTTGATGGGCGGTTGAGTCCCATTCTAAAAACGTATTATTGTATAGAATATATCTGAATAAATCCAATATTTTTCAGTCCTACAAATAGCAGCTAAATATAACTAAATGACCTTCCAAATATTTTAAGTGGCTTGTTAGAATTGCATTATTGACTTAGAACCGGTAGGGACGGAAAAAGCCTTAAACTAACACTTATTTAAGTTTTATTGATGACAATTTGTAAGAGACTATCACAATAATACGGTTTTTATTAAAAAAATCACAGCTTAAGGCTTTCCTTTTGAATTCTTATTTGCGCCAAATATTTTTAGTACATCAGGGATGATGTTGAGATATATCGACAGCTGTACAGTCAGCGTGCTTTTCGATTGCTGGCAAGCGCCATTTTTTGTAAAGCGTTTTGATTGCACGCGACAAACACACAAACTAATAGAGAAATATTGAATTATAAGCTGTTAGTCGTTAGAATCATGGAGGAAAATTCGGGGCTTCTTGAGTTTCAGGCAACCGAGGAGGAGCTCAAGTTCATGCGCGAGTCTAAATCTACAAAGCAACCCTTGGGCATCCTCCAGGAGATGCTATCCCGACGCGGCATCGTCCCCATTTTCGACCTTATCCATACTGAAGTCCCAGCCGGGCACGTGGAGGAATACTGGTTCCGCGTCGTCTTCAAGGACAGGGAAATTACTTATTTCGCTTTGGGTTCTGGACGCTCTAAAAAGGCCGCCAAGCAAGATGCGGCACGAAACCTCATCGAAAAATTATCTGGATCACCTAGTAGTGGCCCCAATCAAGAGGCAAGTTCAGAGTAAGTAGACCAAAAGGTATTTCCACCTTTCCGTAACTCGCGTTTCCCCGGTTTCTCTTGAGTCTAGTTATTCCAGGAATTCAACTTTATGACATTTACTCTTATGCCAAAAGATTGGTAACTTTTTTAATGTTTTTGTTTAAGCGTAGACTGATCTAAAATATTATTTTAATTATAATTAAGGGAACAATCAAAAGGGAAATAAAAATAGTCTAAAATATTTGATTTCTAAATTTATTTATTTAATAAATAATAATAATATAAAAAATTTTAAGAAAAAAAATAAAAAGTGCTTAACAGAAATAAATTATAACTTTCTTCTATGGGGTAATACAAATTTGTTCTCATCATCATTTGTTCAGATCTCAGAAAAACTAGAAAATAAAAATCCGACAACTACTAATGATACTTTGGCCGAAATCAGAAGATTTAAACATAAAATAATTATTAATTTTAACATGGCTTTAAATATCTGGTTTTTAATATTTTCTTTCAGTGTCGTCGACAAGGATGATGCTCATTCTGTCCGCCGGCTGAACGAGTTGTGTGTAGGACGCCGCTGGCCACCGCCGATTTATGACTTGGAAATTGGGGACCCCAATAAGCTGCACCACACGGTCGTTTGCTCGGTCCTCGATTATCGCGAGGAGGGCAAGGGTTTTACCAAGAAAGAGGCCAAGCGTTTGGCCGCAAAACAAATGTGCGTCCGTCTGCTGAAGGAGCCCATTTACTCCGAGGAAGTTGAACAGATGGATGTTGGGGAGCCGAACGAGGAAGAGGTGCTGCCGAAGCCCCAATTGGTCAAGAAACTGATGCCGAAACCCGAAATGGGAAAGAAACTGATCAATATACAGGAGATCTGTCTGAAGAACACTAAGATTGAACACAAGAAACTTTTAGACGAGGTTGCTGCGGAGAATGGGTGTAATATCACCTACGTGGATATCGACGAGGCCTCCTTCACTGGGAAATTTCAGTGCCTGGTCATGATCTCCACGTCGCCAGTGGGAATATGTCACGGCACTGGGGCCTCGGTTGAAGAAGCCCAGTCGAATGCCGCCCAGAATTGCCTTGAATTCCTGAAGATAGTCTCCCTAAAGGGCAAGATTATTGAGCAAGCGATTGCCAAGTTAAACTAAGATATTTCTCCCTTGGTACAACTTTTTTTTTATTAATCTGTAAGATTTAACTAATTCTAGGGTGCAACAGAAAACACTCTCCACCGAACCCATCTTACCGGATGTACATGTATTCTAAGAATGTGAAAAATGTCATAATGTACCTACATATTTGAAAAACGTAGATTCGCTTTGCTTATGTTCAAAACCACCAAAATGTTAAGCCATATGATGTTTAAAAATGCGAATAAACTGAATGTAAAAAAGTGGGAACACCCTATTTTGCTTCAACTATATACATTTGTAATACATAATATGAAAGAAATCCCCAGGAAGAAGTATTACATAAAACGTATTACCATAAAACAATTTCAACGGATCCGTTGTGTAAATTGGTATACAGATACATTAGGCTGCTTGTTTTAGGTAATCAAGAGTAAGTATTCAGAAAAACATCATGGGCTATGTAAAGGCGCGCTAGAGATTAAAAAGGATGAAAAATGTGAAATTAAGCATCGACAGTCAACATAAAACTTGAAACTACTAATCAAAATCATGTTTTTTAACGTTTAAATAATATTAAACTAGTGTAAATGTAATATCAATGAAACTAACAACGGGCCACGTCATCGGTAATGTTAAAATAAAAAGTATACCCTCGGTGATTATTATTATTCTACATTCAGGTATTTGACTATAAGCACTAAATAAAAAAATTAAATTTTAAATTATAACTAATAGGAAAAAACGGTTGATGATATATATCGCACTCGAAACGTTTACCAACACCCACTCTTAGTGCCCATATCGAAATAGGCCTATCGCAGAACTATCAGACTATCAGATATCGATGACAATAATCGAATCGTGTGTTCGCACATTTTACAAATATTATTCAATTTTTACGCATTTCCGCGATGTTGTTGCCGCCAGATCGTTTGGAGCACTATAAAACCAGTTTGGAGCAACAGCTGAAGCGTTTGGCCAGCAGCATAAGGAGTTATTTGGTGCTAAAAGCAGCTGACACATCTGAATTGTCGAATCGAGCGAATCGCTTGTGGGAATTGAGTCAACGTTATCGACTGGTCAAGGGGTAAAACCGATTTGATCAATTTAAACAAGGCTAATATGTTTTCTTAATGCAGTACCAATGAAGCTGCCACTTTCGCCCTTCTCGCTGTGTGCCAGAATGTTTACCAAAACCTGCAGGACAGCATGTAAGTGGTCTAATCCCCGCCAGAAATCCCTCTGATTTCGTTTGTTTTTCATTTAACAGATTGAAATTAGATTTAGAACTGGTTCAGATATCCGCCCAAGTAGCCGACTTCGAGATCGAGTGCCTGCAACTCGGTCAAGAGCAAAGCCAAAGCAAAACGCCCACAAGCTTAACAGAATTCCGTAATTTCCTGGAGGAATCCCTCAAGCTACTGCAGAATCAGGTCAAGTATCTGGAGCTCCATCTTCGCCAGCTGCAACCCAAGATCTTGGCCCCGGAATCCTCACTGGAGGCCTTCAGATCCGATCTTCAACTGCCCGAACACGCAGAGGCACGAATTTTTCTTGGACTGGCCAAAATCGAGAAGTTGGCCAGTTTTCCACTGATTTTGTAGTAATAAAAGGTCTTGTTCTTGTTAATAACTAAAGGAATACAACACATTACTTGACTCTAGTTGTAAACCGCTAGTAAGTAGTATTTTTGTTTCTGTTTTTAATTTTATCATTATCTTCCCTGTAAAACAAAATAATTTTCTCAAAATTACTATACTTAAACATCTGTTAAGAGCTATTGCCTTTTTGTGAGTTGACTTTATATAAAGCTGGATATTAGATATCGACCGCACTAAACATTAATTCTACATACTGTATTTATAAATGCATTTGTTTTGGGTGAAAAAAAGCTTTGTTCCATAATCGTATTCAAATATTATCATTTTATACAGATTTAAGGGAGGGAATTAATTAATGCAATTTACAACAATCTAACGTTAAATATAATAAAAGGCTTGCAATTTTTAAAGGCAAGTGGAAAAAAAATATTTAAATATTTATATCTATACTCTTTACCGGCGTCCGTATTGCAATCATTTTTTGATTTAGACATAAAACGATATTGTTCGCTAAATGAAAACCATTTCAAACTTTTTAAAATTGCAAGCATTCAATTCAAAGGAAGTCTACTTTTTTGGGAAAATCATTTACAACAAATTCCTCCATGTGTTCATAGCGATTTAAAGCCATCCACTATAGCTGCATTTTTAAATTCAACATTTTTTGTTGATCTTAAGGAAACCATTTTAGTTGAATGGCAGGTCAAGCGTAATTTTCCGGAGAAATCGATAGGTCATGAACCACTGGCTTTTCTTGCCATTTTTCACTGAGCACTCAACAAAAACACAAAAACAAAAAAAAGGGAGGTCCAATAAATGAAACCAAAACACACCTTTGACTGGTATTCTTTTCGTAGAATGGCGCTCCAATGCTCTCGAGATTTATTTAAAACACATTTTGGCTGTTTTCAGGCGAATTAGGTGTGTATTTTCATTTGTTTATAACGAATATGCAGCAGCCTCCCGCGGATTTTCTCGCGTTGTCTCCATCCGCCTCCGCAAAATTAAAAAGCCGCGTGCAAAAACAGTGTGTAAGAAGGGTCTGTGGAATGGAGGGAATTCGGGTTAGCAAAGATACACTTGGATATATTTCAGGTCACCGACTTACCCTCTCGAGTGGGTCGCCAATTGGAATTAGCGCAGCCTCCTGGCCTCGCGTTCAGACTCCAAAAGGGTCAGGATGTCGCCCTCGCGAACGGGTCCCTTCACGTTCCGGATGATCTGGCGGTTCTGCTCTCCGAGGAACTCCACCTTCACCTGCGTACACTGGCCCTGGGAGCCGGTGCGGCCCAGAACCTTCATCACGCGTGCCCACACAACTGGTTTGTCCATGTTAAATCGCTAAATTCGCAGAGAATTCACGTGCAAGTTGCGCTTCAATTGACAGCCGCAAGCAAAAAGGAAGTTGGCCCGTTATCGGTGAGGCGACGTGAAGTTGGCTGCGCTGCGGGCGACGCGATAGGTGCGATTAACGGCGCTGCCAACTATCGATTGCGGGGGCTGGGTTTAGCTATTAAATAGCTAAAAACATTCGATCTTAGAACTTGAATATTTGTTTATTTAAGTTGTGTTAACCTAAGCAAGGCTTGGTGAATAATTTTATTACATTTTCCTTACCTTCTAATATTAAATCTTCCGCCGTAGACTAGCTAAACGTATTTATTTATACAGCCCAAATGTTTAATAACTTAAGTTGTGTCAACCTATACAACGCAATGACTTGTTAAAGGCTATCTTAAGTCTTCAAAAAGATATATTATAATCAAAAGTGAATTGCAACCATTTTATATATAAGCTAGAAGAGAGCATAAATACAAAAACGTTACTTCTCTTGGCTTGAAAACTTAAGCGTGGCTTCTATTAAACTACAAGCCATGTGTTGCCATGTTAAACTGGTTACGTCTTTTTGGAAAAATGTTTGGAATTACCAAATTGTTACCACATTAATTTGTTTTAATTATTAATATTTTTCAATATTGTTTTGTCACTGTTTATAAGCCGAATAAGTAATTGGAGGGTCTTGTTTACTAGCCTTTTAAGACATAGCTAAAATTTTTGTTTAAAAAAAGCCAGGCTGGCATTACTATAACTGGTAGATATCGATACAAACGTAGTGTTGTGAAACGCAACCGGTAGCCTTACCACCGGCTACAAATGGTTTTTGGCTAATAAAATCACATGTTTAAAGTTAATTATGTTTGCCAAAAATAAGCAGTTTTCTAGTTTTCCGTTTTTAAGTTACTGAATTGCAAATACACGAGTGCTGACAGCTGTGTCGTTTTTCAACACTACCAGCGAAACCGGAGTTGTCGAGTCGTCAGGAATAACAACAAAATAATGCAAATATTTTGTTATGCAGTGAAATCAAGTATATAGATGTATTTTTGAATGCATTTGAATATATGTTTTATTGATGGCCTGCGAATGAACAGCATTTAAGGGGCTGAAATAAGCGGATAAGGGGAAACTCGAGGCCTTCAGTGCGAGGGCCTGGCAACCCTAGACGTGGCACCACGTAGACATTTGACAGTGAAAGTCGTGCGTCGACTTCGTGAACGCTCGGCTTCTGTTTTCGCCGCTATTCCGCGCCGCTCGTCACTCTGTCATTTTCACTCGATCGCGAAGGTTGTGTGTGCGTGTGCGTTTTCCCCAGCCGATTTCCCAGCCGAATTTCCGTGTGTGTGCCGCGCATTCAAGTGCAGCCCAGCCCGAATAGCAAAAAAAAGGCCAACAAGATGAGGCATCTGATGTTCCTAATGCTGATGGTCCTGCCCATCGTCATTTGCACCTTCTCCTCGCGTAAGTAGCTTCCATTTCCGACTGCCCTCGCGATAAATAACAATCGGTGGGCGGGGGGCTCTTCATACATACGTGGCACACTGCCGACGCATCTCCATTCGCTACGTGGATTATACTATATGGCCCCCCAATATCAACGTGAATCCTCTGCCCTTATCGTATTTCGGCGATTTTCATTCATCTTCAGTGGCCAAATTTTCATCACACAGTCAAAACTGTTGAGTTGGCATGGCCCCTATCGCCCTCTCGCTCTTACTCGTGAATATGGTCGGCTTCGATGGCAATTATTTCGGTTGTTTTTCAAGACCAAGGCTTCAAACTCGGCACAATAGTGTTTTTAGGGGTCCTCTATGGTATAGCCAAGTTTCACAATAATCGGTTGAGTTTATCCCGTACTTGCCATGTAAATCACGGCCCTTGTTGGCAAATTTCAGGTGAAGTGTATATAAATCGTATAACTTTTCGACCTACATAAAATAGTAATAAAAGTAATAAAAGAAGCTTTAAAACTATATAAAACAATCCCATATTATATTATTTTCAAAGATAGTAGCCAATCAATTGTTATAAAAATACCATTGCCAAGGTTTGATATCAATATACTTTGTATATATTCTACCTCTCGGGTTCCAAAGATTATATGATAGCTCTCTCATGAATTTACATATAGTTGTGCCTTCATTTTGCTTCAATGTTCATACTCAAACAACTGTATTCCTCCTTTGTACAGCCAACAAGTTCGGTGCCTATGCCGCCGAGCCCGTGGAGGACGACCTGGTGGACGTGGACGCCGAGGAGGGCGCGGTGACCGGCGAGGATGCGGAAGCGGACGAGGACAGCGACTCGGGCAGCAGTAGTTCGCCGAATGCGGACACCTATCTGCTCTTTACGAAACCCCTGTACACGCCTGGCCAGCAGCTGGATCTGCCCGGCGGCAAGCCCGTCGAGTTCCTGATCGGATTCACGAACAAGGGAGCCGAGGAGTTCGTCATCGAGACGGTGGAGGCCTCCTTCCGCTATCCCATGGACTTCAACTACTTCATCCAGAACTTCTCGGCGGTGGCCTACAACCGTGAGGTGAAGCCCGGCTTCGAGTCGACCGTGTCGTACACCTTCCTGCCCTCGGACCAGTTTGCCGGCCGTCCCTTTGGCCTGAACATTGCTCTGGCCTACCGCGATGCCAATGGCATTCAGTACAACGAGGCTGTCTTCAATGAGACCGTGCTGATTTCGGAGGTCGACGAGGGTCTGGACGGCGAGACCTTCTTCCTGTACGTCCTGCTCGCGGGCATTGTTGTCCTGCTCCTGGTCATCGGACAGCAGTATCTGCTGGGCAGCTCCGGCAAGAGGAAGCGTGCCGCTGCCAAGAAGGTGATCGAGACCGGAACCGCCAACGACAGCACCATCGACTACGATTGGGTGCCACAGGAGACGCTGCGTGCGCTGCAGAAGTCGCCGCCCAAGACCAAGACGCCCAAGACCTCCCCCAAGCCCGGCAAGCAGGCCAGTCCCAAGGCGGTCAGCCAGCAGAGTCCCAAGCAGCGCAAGGTCAAGCGCTCCGCTGGCGATGATTAGGTTCAATCCGCTCAAGACTGCACATATCCCAACAACAACAACACCAAGAACGGCAGCAAGAACAACGACAGCCGAAGCAGCAACAGCAAACCCCATTCTTTCATACTGTAGGGAGCAGAAGAGCTTGCAGTTTCGTAATTAATTAGTTATGTATCATCATGTTCGAGATCATTTCTAGACATACTATCATAATTTTTTTTCGTGTATCGAGAGATTGTTAGTCCCTAAACGAATAACGAACCAACGTTTCCACAGATTTGTTTTAGAAATTTGAACTTTGAAATGCCAACTGCACATACTCCAAACACAACACACAAACAACAACAAAAAAAGAAAAGAAACAAAATTGTAACCTAAAGAAATTCCTTTGTGAAATTGTCTTCGTTTGTTGAAGACACATTATAGAAAGAGGAGAGCAGCTTAGAGAATGAGCCGTCGAACTAAAAAGGAATATCAAGCGAAAATTCAAGAAAGACCGATCGATTGATAGGTAAGACGAGAAAACCTTCCAATTGTACGATACATTTAAATTAGTCTTATGATTACAAATCAATTGATTGCCTTTTGTTTTTGTTTAATTTACGTTTGCCCCCACCCATCCAATTCCGATTTTGACTGTCATTCTTTTTCTGTTAGAAACGAAAGATGTTGAAGTGAGTTCTTTTTAGGTAGAGAAGTCGCAGGAAGTCGACCGATGAATAAAGAGAAATTTTCTTACAACAAAAACAAAAAATAATAAAATTTGAAAAAAAATATCACAGTTGTATTTATTTTAGATGTACTGAGATCATATATTTGGATCATATTCATCATATGTCTGTCATATCATATCATATTTTTGGATAAAAAGGCTCTAAATGTTAAAAATCTTGTGAAATGACTCATCTCTCTGCTTATGGCGGGAACATAATGAAATTACCTAAAGTACATGATATTTTTAAAATTATTTTCAGTCAAATTTCTTTTTGGAGTTCTAAATATTAGTAAAATATAAATATTGATTTACATTTTTTGTTTTTCAACACTTGTAAGGATTTTTTGATAATTAATGTCGCCATCTGTCGGTGGGAACCTTAAATTATCTTGTTTTTGCATGGGCTAAACTTTCTCGTTCTCCAAAATTTTTTTGGCAGCTCCGAATAGTAATAGTACACTTACTATTATTATTAATATTTGCCTACATATTTTGTTTTTTTAAATTTTTTACTGGATTTTTTGATAGCCAGTGTTGCCATCTGTCGGTGGAAATCTTAAGAGTGCTAGGATTTGCAACTTTTTCTTTCTCAAATATTTTTTGGGAGCTCCAAACAGTGTTAGTAAAATGTTATTCATTTTTAATTACATATCTTGTTTTCCAAATTCTTGATTTTTTTATAGTGTCGCCATCTGTTGGTGGAAACCTTAAATTAGCTTGGTTTTGCATCGGCTAAACTTTCTCTTTGGCGGAGCTTTTGCCGCTGTTATCTCCTGTGAATTCAACAGGCCTGCTAGCAGCGCTGTTAAGGACATAACAACTTGTTGTCCTGCCGCTGTTAAGGATTCGAATCGCCCATTCAAACTCATTCGTCAACAGACTCTCGTGCGGTTCGGTTCTCAGCCTCTGAATTCAGCAGCCCAAATCACAGTCGCAAGTCACTGGTCACTGGTCACTGGTTAATGGTCACTGGTCGCAGTTCACAATCGCACAGTTACTGCTTCAGTATCCGGTTTTCGAAAATATTCGAAAGTGCTGAACACACTTTTTTTTTGGTTTTTGTGCTAAGCTAAGAAATTGAGTATATATTTATATAGAGCTTTGGCGGGTGAGCCAAAAGCGTTTTGAATACCGTTTTTCAATCCAAGAAACGACCGAGCCGAAGTGAAAGTGTGTGTGGCAAATATTTGAATCCCATTTGCGTTCCGAATCGGAGAAGGATTTAGCGGAGAAAGCTTAAGAGACAGAGAAAACACCGCAGTCAAAGGTGAGTGCAGTGTTTGACAAATGTAAATAAGGCGGGTTTCTTCGGGGAAAGGGAACATTTTCCTACCTTGAGACCCGGATTGCGGTTATGTTTGCCCGAAAAAAAATACTTTTTCCAACTTTTTAGCACGGTGGAATTTAAAAAATTCAGTTCAAATACATACAAAAGCTATAAAAAACATTACCAAAGCTTAAGGGCCGTTTTCTCGACCGCATGTTAAATTTAAAGAAGGGTTAAAACGTTGATATCTTTTTGAATTTAGAGTTTTAAGTATGCACCAAGTTTAACTTGCGGACGAGAAAACGTCCCTAAGTACTGAAGAATTAATCTAGTTTTTGAAAAAGAACGACCGGTTCTTGAGAAATTTTAGAAGTTTTGAATCGCAACGCTGTTTTTTTTATCATACTTCGCATGCTAGTCAATTTCAAAACTATTTCGAAAAGAACTAAATTAATAATTTAGTTTAAAAATTATTTCAAGATCAAAAAGTGTTGTAATGACTTAAAGAAAAATTATAATATTGAAATAGTTACAGCCTAAATTAAAATTAAAGTTTTTTAAAGCAAGACAACATCAAAATATATAAACTTAACATTTTTCAATAAAATTTATTTGGGGAAAGTCAATCTTAAATGAACTTGTACATTATAGAAGTAATTGTGAAAGTGACGATTTACAAACTTTGATTTAAATAATTAAGATGTTTAAGGAAATGTAGGAAGTCCTGCCCAATTTTTGAGCAATTAAAACTTGCTTGGGAGGAAATCTGCAAGGAGATGTTTGAAATATCCTTGGCGTAATATAAGCACTGAATTCATGAATGTCCCAGTAGGTGCGGGCACATGTTTGCTTATTTGGCCCAGCATTTGTTTGTCTGTCAACAAAATGGTTGACTTGAATCGAGTCTTTGGCCAACTTTGCAGGGTTGGAAAATGAAGTGAATTAATTACCTCTTCGGGCTTGAATTCGTAATTAATTCGCTCTTGTTCCTGCCCGTCGTGTGGCTCTTTCTAATTCGACTTATAAATCATGTTGGCTGAGCGGTGGAATTAGGGGACCGAGGAGAAAGGTGAGTTCCTTTCGCTGGGATACCAATTTGAAATGCAAAGACATTTTAAAGTCGCCTGAAATCTGGGCGCAATAAGATACAGATACAGATACAGATAATTCTGCTGGATAATAAAGTGCCTCAAATTTCTCATCCCCAACTAAGTTGTGGCTCCAACTGATGGACATGGTTAAATAGTTACATATGTATGCCATAAATTATATTCGATTTTTGTCTGGGGAATTATCGTAGTCAACAAAACTTTATGTGCCGAAGAGTTAACTTTTTAATGAATGTAAAATAGTTTTACCACAAACAATTGTGCGCTTAATTGGAATTTAGTTTGCCATAATTGTTGAAATGCTTTTAAGTAGGTGAGCTGTTTGCAGCAAAGCGGAAAAATACTTTTTAAAACAATTGATAAAAATGTATTAAGATAATATGGGTTTAAAAACATAAGATAGTCCGATTCTTGGGATTGAATTCCTCAGAGAACTATTTACAACTTCAACACGTTTTATGTACATTATGAACTCTATTTATTTTAATTTAATGGATAAAATGATCTATGTAATATATTTTAGCACTTTTTTGATTTTAAAATACGTTTTAAACTTTGAAAAACTGCTGAAACCATTAGAATTAATTAAAAGAGTTTGGCCAAAACGTTTTATTGAGTTGCCTCTTTATTTGGAGGTTGGGCAAAAGAGTTGCTGTCATTTGGTTTATTTTGGTTTGGCTTCTGTTTTGCTTTTCTTTTTGGGTATGGGGGGCAAATAATTTTCAAGCAATTTTACTTAATTGCCTTTTGCAGATAATAAATCATTTTCTTTGCAATTTGCGCCGACATCAAAAACCCGCACTTAAGTGGAGGTCTCCGCAGTATTCAGCCACCTTCCAATTTTGCTGACCCTCAGTCCGACCACCCCTTTCACCACCCCTTTCACCCACTTTCACCCACTTTCACTCGCTGCTCAATCAGACCCTAAGATGGCCTTAGTTGGCTGCTCCTTTTTTGTGTGACGCTATCTGCTTTTTGCTAATTAACTTGGCTTGTTGCCTGTTGCCTCACACACACAGGGACAAAGTTGAAGAAGCTACGTTTTGAATTTCTTTGGAATTCGAAAATCTCATTAAAATGTTGGCCAAGTCTCGCGGAAATGGGAAAAATCGAGGGGGGAAAACCCTTTCGAAGGTGTGCCCCGGGTCAAAAATGGATTTTAGTTGACATTTTATTGTTTTCTTGGCTTTATTTACTCGATACTCAGCAAAATGTGAGATAAAAGGTTCAGCAAACCAGTATATAAGGAATAAACATTTGTTTGCGTTGCTTTGTCAAATATTTTCGGGTAATTTGCATAACAATATTTAGGGGAAAACCCCCAAAATGATATATAGAAAAGAAAATGGCCAAGAAAATAGGATGATTAGGAAATAAAATATTGCAGGAAAATGTTGCAAAGGAAAGTACCAAAAAGTGATTGAAAATGTTCGATGAAGACAAGAAATGTATAAAGATAAATCGATTGAAGCGAAGAAAACTGATTGCCAAAAGAAATTCGAAAAGAATAGGAAATTGAAAAATGACAAGCATAAGGCAAAGAGAAGAAAAGAAGTGAAAAAAATTACGAGAAATAGGGGAAATTGGAAACACCGAAGAGGAAAATGGTTCAGAAATCGTTGGATAAACAATGGCTGAGGACTTAATCATTATGGAAATGGCAAAAAATACACGTATAATTATATATATTAAATCTTTTATAAAAGATATAATAAAGAGTTGCACCACTAAAACGTAATAAGAGAAAAAACACCTACCCCAAAATTAATAGAAATTCTAAGTCAAATAAAATTAACAAAATTGTGATATCCTCCTTCGAGTTTGCAAACCCTGGATTTTGCATTTTGTACCGCACTGTAGTCGAATTGAAATATGAAATTATAATTGCATTTGCATACTGGGCGAGCTAACACAAAAGATTTCCGAAAGTACTCCCAGACAAAAGTGCCCCAGATGGATCAAGGCCCCCTTAACCCCCTTAACCCCCTCCGCCCCATCACCTTTGACCCCCAAATCCCGAAGCTCTCCAAACATGTGCGATGACAACATTTTCCACACCCGAAACAAGAATGAAAAATGATAATTAAATAACAACTAACAACTAACAGGCGGAATGTGCGGGCTGGGCAAGGAAAAGCCAGGAAAAGCGAGGAAACTCTGCGAAAAGAAGGTGTGAGTTGAGGGTTAAGGGCTGAGCCCGTAATTCACTTGGTTGACCAACTAAAGTTTCTCCTGCCCGAAAATTCTTACCAGCACTTGGCAAGGATAGGGGGAAAAATACAGCATGAAACTATTTTCCAAAAATGTTAAGTCACTTCTTAGTGAATTAAAGGCACCCTTGTTTTTATAAAAATAAAATCCTTAAAATTTAAGTTAAAGAAAAATAGAATTGCCTTGACTTACAGAAGTTTATTTTAGTTTTCTTGTCAAGGATATGAGGAAAATACAGTGGGTACTATTTTCAAAAATTTTAAAAGGCCTTTTTTATAAAAAAAAATGTATTTTTAAACGAGGTATAAGAAAAGTGCAATTGCCTAGACTGGCAGTTTTTTATTATAGTATCTTATTTTAAGAACCAAGTAGGTTAAAAAGTATCTCAAATAGTGCAAAGGCTATATCATGGATATTATGAGACAACAAGAAAGGGGATTTGATTCCATTTTTAAATCTCAAAAGGAATATATTGTTGTTGATTAAGAATGGGATTTCATAAAAATGTCACAGGCAGTATTATTTTGTTTTTCACTTTCACTCTCCATTGTGGCAAGCCGGGTAGTGGAGAGTAGGGTGTTAAGGGGGCTTCGGAGGACCTACAAGTAAAGTGGAGTAAGGCAGCGTAAAGTTAAGCAGAGACGACAACTTTTTTTGTGCATGATAACGGCAACAACACAGCACTAATGGCCATGTATGTGTATGTATGGCACGACTCTAACACGTGTGCCTGTCGGTGTGGCTTTCTTCTCTCGTTTGTGTGTGTGTGTGTGTGTGGCTTTCCCCTTGCACATGTGTGTGTGACAGGCGGCTGTCATTTGTAATGCGCTACGCAACAAGAGAAAGAAAAGAAAGAGGGGGCGGCAAAGGAGTGGCAAGGAAAAACGAAGGGGAAACTATTTCCCGACATTCGGATTTCTCGTGAGCGGAAAACAGAAAACCCCCTAATGATACAACTACAGAAAACTGGAACACTTCAGAACAACAATTAGGTGTTGAGCAACCGAAAGGATAACCAAGCGTTAAACAACTTTTGACATTTTAAACAAATTGGATTGGCTTAATCTCAGTCCTAGGTATATTTAGTTTTAACCAACATGGATGTTCAAAATCCTTGGTAACAATCCAAATTCAAAAACATTAGTCTTTCCACTTTAACATCATATATATTTTGTAACTTATAATATTTAAAAAATACATTTGAATTCTGCAAATTATAAATGTATACAATGTTTTTGGTAGGTATTATATATAAATTTATATATGATGTATGATAAATGTACATATATAATGCTTTTTGTAGTTAACATAGGTACAGAGTTTAGTTTTTATCTTCTGTGGCTATGTTCAATGAAATTCTCAACATATATAGTCTTGAATATAATATAAATATTATATATTTTTAAAACTGGTTAAAAATTCTTTATTTAAGGGTTATACGATATATATACGAACATAAAGTCTTAATAATACCATGTAGGCTGTGTTTATTTCATTTAAATTCAAGAGATTTAAATACTTAAAAAACTAGTGTCAAAGTCAGCCGAATCCAGAAAAAATGTTCTATAAAGGTGTACTTAAAGAGCCTTTTAACTCTATATATAGTGTGTCCATGGCAGGTTGGGTCTGGCTTTACCCTGTTGAATTCCATAACAAAACAGTAAAATATCATGTCTCGAA